TATAAGATTTTATTCTCTGTGTTTTTGTCCATACCTTTGATAAATGTGCTTTAATTTCTCTGTTTTAGTATTAGGCCTCAGGTTATTTTTAGTACTTAACAATATAAAAGAATGTTCGCTTCCTTCTTGTTGTGTCTTACAAGATCGAGCTTCTCTAAATTTACCCGTCCAAATTATCCCTACTCTTGTTAAACTATTTCCCTCTAATGAACGGATCAAGATCGACAATAACATCACGATTGACAACATCTTTCGAATCTAACAATTATATGCGTTTAGTTTCGTTTATATATGCGTTAAGACAAATATAAAGATACTTATATGGTGGAGAATGGGAAGGTTGAGGAACCGTCCTTCTGCTACTGCTGCATGGATGTTATTTGACAAAGTTATTACACAGTAGACTCCAAGCTACGAAGAGGGAAATGAGCAAATTTTTGTTAAAAAAGCGTAGTAATTAAGAAGAAAGAATTAGTCGAATGATGAAGACACCAAATTTGTTATCTTGGTCGTGGGTCACAAGACCAAAATAATAAACATACATTATATATATAAAGCATGTATAATATTGAAGAAATAGAAACCAAAATGAGTAAATACGTACTGATAATGAAAAATCTTGAATGTTTATCTTATCAAAATAGGCAAAACATCCAAGAATGAATCATGAAGAAGAGAGATGCAATATGGTTGGCAAGTTCCCTTAAAAGATTCACGGAAAACTGATGCAAACAAGCACCATTAGCAGAAGTAAATTACTTGTCTATTTCAACTACACATAATGGACATAATTCAGAACACACTAAGCCAAAATTATAGTTCCAGTAAAGAAATATGAAATCATACCCACCCTTTATATATTTCCTTAACAAAAAATCCATAGTTGACGAGTTTAATACTCATTCTTGCCATAGATGTATAAAATCAAACTCTAAAAAAAATTAGCAACAGTAAAAGATAAAATCCTTATGGTTTACCATTGCGGGAATTACCTTGCAAGCCTTTTA